CTTAATCTTATTAAACATTACTTCAGTTATTGTTTGATTTTTATTGTTTGGCATTAATAATTTTAAATTTGTCCACATCCTTTTTGAGTCGAATTTATTCTCGTCAATAACATTAATGTAAAATTTTTCCTTTGAATCTTTTATTTCTTGAACTAGGTTATTTCGAATTATTTTATATTCATCCCAATCTTCTTCAATGTTTGTAAAACTAGAAAAGCTTTGAATTATTTTTAAAATGTTTTGTTTTATACATGATAACCACACTGTGTTCCTTCATTATCTTTCCACTCAATCTCGTAATTTAGTTCACAAAAGACATGTAGAGAATATTCCTATTAGAACGAAAAAAACTTGTATCTAGGTAATTGAACTAAAAGCCCGAATGAACAAAACCTTTTCGAGAATTTAATTAATTAATTCCAAACGGTTTGAAAGAGCGAACCTTAAATGTGTTTCAGTCTAAACAGCTTACGCGAACCGAGAGCCTTGTAAAAGATATAAACATGATAACGTTGAAGCTCCGAATTTCCGTTTAACGATTTCTAGACATTGAAACTAAAGTGCTCGAAAGTAATGCGGGCTTATGTACACGTACAATGCCATAACTCCTACTTAAACTTTAAGATTTATGCGTTTGTAAGTCACAAGATGTGACGACGTCTACAACCTATTTTTACATGTTTCCTTGTTAGGATTACTATATCATAAATGAAAAAATCAATTTTTTGGGTTTTATTAATTCAGATAAAAGTAGATTGAAACTATGACAAAATTTCTTTCTTGAAGCTCGAAACTCATGTTGGAAGTGCTTTGTGCATTATAATTCTGAGCTACGTATCCGTTTCTTCAGTCGCCCTTGTGCAAGTCCTTTTGCTTTGCCACACGGATTACAGATGAGGTGAGTGCTGTGGGTAAAAATATATTGAGAAGTAATGTTAAAGATTTATTTTATATTGCTTTGAAAGACGCTCTAAATGGAATAAAAAAGTTTGACGACAAAGTGTTCCTTCAAAAGCAACATTTTTCAAGTAGCATGAATAGTGCTGACCTTAAAACTAAACAAGGGAGAAATAAAAAAATAGCGGATAGAAAACGAAAAAAAAAATTGCAGAAAGGGATAGTAAGGATACGTCTAGGACAATTTCACAACCATCTACTTCTTGTTCTGAAAACTCTGAAATCGAAGTGAGAGTTTGGTTTTTGTAAGATATTGCGATGAAGCCCTACTTGGAGTTATGAAAAATTAAAAAAAAAGAAGATCGGTAGAAACGTACACTGCTTTTAAGAGGCATCATTGGTTTCTTTCAAAGCACTTAATAAATTTGGAATTTTGTGTCTTTGAAAGAACCAGCTTTTTCTTTGATGTCCTTATTATTAATAAAAATGCAAAAGTGAAGAATTTCCAAAATTAGCATCTCAAAATTGGCGATCAAATAAATTTCGTAAAAAGTGTTGTAAGATAATAGTTGTTAACCCTTAACTGCTCGCGCCAATTTTTGTAACATAAGTGGTCGCGCGGTGCACTGAGTGCTCCGCTCCTTAAAATGGCTATATTGCTGAATGTTTTCAATTTTAATATTACTTTTGGTTATATTCCGATGAATAAACTCTATTTCTTAAACACAATATTTATTAAAAAATAAAACAAAAAGCAAATAACAAAAAAGTTATTACTTCTACTCAGAAAAGAAGAAATCAGAAGGAAATTTAGCCGTTCTTTTTTTAATTGTGTTTTCTTATAAAAATGTATACCTTAAAAACCATTATGTTTTAAATTCCATATTTTGTTGATTTAGAAATATTTTGCATTACAAAAATTGAAATTTAGTTACGTTTTAGTGAAGTATTTCTAAATCAATCTCAAGTTTTCTGTCCATATCTTTGAAATCAATAGTTTAAACTAAATATGCCGTCGACAGTGCATGATAGACACATCAGTCATAGGTTACAAGGGCATTTAATTCCAAGAAAACGACAAAAAGTTATAGAGGTTTTAATAAAAACGGAGCACTCAGTGCACTTGCGCGACTAGTTAAGGGTTAATGATACTGCCGAACGAAGAATCAGTCTTCTTCAAAAATTTAACCAGTCACTAACCAAGGACGAAAAACATTGCATAGTTGCAAATTGTATGAAAAGGATTGGTTTGTTGATCAACGCTTTGATATTTCAAAAGATAATGCTGTCATTTTTTGACGTACGTATTCTACAAAACTTGTCATTTCATAATGGAAAGATACACAAGTGCTCAAAGAATCCACATAATTCAAATTTGTCAAAATAACCGTTCACCGTGACAAACGTTTTATGATATTCATTATCGACCAACAAAACCCCACCATTTGACTAATTGTGACAAAATTTAAGACAACCGGCTTTGTTACGAATCTCCCAACACCTGTGCGTCGTCATAAGACCCGGTCTGTTAAGAATGTTGCTGCTGTTAGAGAAAGTGTACATGAGAATCCTACACTCTCAATTCCCCGACGTTCGTAAGAATTGGGCCTGTCTCAGTCCTCAGTTTGGCGAATCTTGTGTAAAGACCAGTTGACCCAAAAGCTCAAGTGAAACGATCATCTTTTTTGTTGAAGTTTTGTAATTGGTCTCTAGAACATTTGGAAGCAGACCCTGAATTCGGCCAGAACGTCATTTTTAGTCTCATTTTTGGTTAAACGGCTTCGTTAATAAGCAAAACTTTCAAATTTGGTGTTGAGCAAACCCACGAAATATCTAAGAGCGCCCAGAAAAGATTACTATCTGGAGTGGATTTTGGTCTGGCGGCGTCATCGGTACTTTTTATTAAGATGATCAACGGAGACAGGTACCGAATGATAATACGGGATTTCTTTTGCTCTCGATTGGAGGATATGAATCTGATGAATATGTTTTTCCAACAGGATGGCGCCACTGGCGTGAAACACTGGACTTTATATCAAACATTTTAACGGCGATATCAATTGGCCAGCAAGATAATGTGATCTTATTTATTTCTATGGAGTTATGTAAAGAGTCCCCTGTATGTAAATAGGCCTCGAACTATTGAAGCACTCGGAGACAATATCTGACACGTCATTGCTGAAATACAGCTCAGTAATTCAAAATTGAGCTTCTTGAATGGTTGCAACCCATCAAAGCCGCATAGGCCATTTGCCAGATGTTATTTTCCATACATAATGTCATAATATGTTCTTTTATCTAAAATTAAAACAAAGTCGTTACCTTTTTTGCACCTTTTTTAATTCCACTTCAAAGATGTATCACTCTTATGTCGCGACCAAAAATTTCGTCCTTTTTAAAAACGACATAACTTTTTTGTTTCTTGAACGATTTTATTTTGGTTTGTGATGTCTGCTAGCCCCATTCTCTGGAAATTTATGCTATAAATATGAAGCTCACGGTTCTTCAAGTACATTTACTACAGTGTGATATGTAAAACATTGAAAAATTTCAAAAATGAACAAGAACAAGAAAAAAATATTTTTTTTACAAACGGGGCTTGGATGAAGTTATTGAAATTTTTCACCGTTTTACATATCACCCTGTAGGAAATTTACTTGAAGAACAGTGAGCATCATATCTATAGCATGCATTTCCAGAGAATGGCGCTAGCAGAAATCACAAACCAAAATAAAATCGTTCAAGAAACAAAAAAGTTATGTCGTTTTGAAAAAGGACGAAATTTTTGGTCGCGACACACATTGACTGGTGCGCAGTTTAGATGCGAAATGCGAATTGCGAAGTACGAATATTCGCATTTCGCAACTCCTATTTCATATACATGCGAACTATTTTAGGGACATAGTTTTCTCACTAGGCGATAAATCCAGGCTATTTTAGTTACTAAAATATTAAAGTTACTTAGTGACTACACAGAAAAAAATCTAGCATAGTACCAAGAATAGCGCTGCCATTGAATGCATTAAAATTGAAGCAATCTAAATTGTTATTTGCTCAATTAATTACTATTAAACCAAAATAGGGAAATATTTTGCCTAAATGTCAAAGAATTTATTGCGTTAAATGTGTACCTAGTATATATATACAATAGTAACGTAATTAAATACATCAAATTAGTATTTAATGAAATAACATTCTACCATTCTAACAAATAAATATCAATATAAATATCAATAGATTTATAAATCTATTATAATTATAATAATCTATTATAATCCTATAGGAGCAATAACTTTTGTTGTTAATTTAAAAACAGTAAACGATTATAAACCAAGTGCTAACTACCTATTGGTATTATAGGAACTGTTATTCAGGAATACGGATTACAAGATCCCATTGGTTTAATGGCTCACCCATTCATGCTATGCTAGCGTTTTTTATGTGTATAAAGGTAAAATAAGAAACATCAATGTACCTCAAAAAACTCTGTCAATTATAAAAAACATAAAATACTTTAAACACTTATATAAACAGTTCAAATAAAACTCAACAAACCAAACACTACGATACAAACGAAATAAACATAAATCATTTATGATAAATGACGTATACGTGATTCGCTTACGTTTCGCAAGAACATAAATGCAATTGCTTATTATACCTATAGGTATGATAAGCAATTGCATTTATGTGCTTGCGAAACGTAAGCGAATCACGCCAAATTAGTGCGATTTTTGCAAAATATTGGATCAATCTCAAGATTCCCACCCCCTAGATTCAAATCTTGCGAATTCGCAGGATCTGTCAAATAGGCCATTTTTCGCATTTTGCATCTTGCATCTATATGAAACGGGCTTTAGATGTCATATAATAAAAAAAACTTTTGAAGATAAAATATTTAATTTTTATTTTTTGGAGTGCTACCCTGATTAAAATATATACCTTGGAATCGAGTTTGAGCTAAACATGCTAAATTGCGAATTCGGCAAATCATGTTTAAGCAATAATCCTTTCAATTATATGTTTTTTACCGTTTTACCATTGTTGAAGTTCGCGGAAAATACACATTTTCCATCATTTATCTTTTCCTTTTTTTGTTTCAGCGAAGTAAACGATTCGATGGTGTCTGTGGAGCAGAGAGCGGGGCTGTTTAATATTCGCATGGTGGCTGAGGTGCCGTCCTTGAGGGCCCCCGAAGAGTTCGCATGCGAATTACGCGTCCCACAGGCGAACTACACCGTCAGCAAAAAAGTCATATACTATCCAGGTATGAGCAGTACACACACCAACAGCAAATTCAATTTGAGACCTTTTTTCTTGCCTTTATTTTATTTCATAATAAAAAAAGATTTTCTCATGAAAAGGGTTTTCATGTATTAGAAGTTATAAGAACACTAAAAGAACGGAGTAAATAAAAAAAATATGTGTTTTAGTTCAAGGACACATAAGCCATTGCATCCAAATTATTCAAAATCAGTTAACTTAATGTTAATTAGTTTGTGTTTTAATTAATTTTACTGTTTAATATTTCTGATAATTAGCACATGTTCAAGGTTTTTTTTTATTTTATATCTATTAAACTTATCTAATGGGTAAATATTTTCTTAAAATATTTACATAACATGACAAAATGCTTAATTAAATTAAATAAAAATTATTGCGTGTACATACGAATATTCAAGTGGTCCACAAATCTATGGAGAAAAAAATATGATTGAATCTTGCATCCACATAGGTCAGTTAGGTAATAATTTTTAAAAATAACATACATTCAAATCGAGTGATAACTTTTGTTCCAAAATTAATTTATTTTCATTAATTCCATCAAGTAAAATACCACATAGTGTGTTAGATACAAGAAACAAGTACAAGTATATTTAATCTGTGGTCTATATTTATGTTCATTTCAAATGAATCATTTGTGTTCATGCTTTACTCAGTACAGTAGAAACCGTCAATATATGAACGTGACTCATCCGACACATTCGTACGAAGCAATCTATCGAAGGTCACGGTCCAGTGCAGTCTCGTTTGTAAAAAAATTTGAGTGTAATGTTGGTTGCTATACTTATGATATATTTGCTTTTAAAGTTAAATAATTAACATCTAACATAATTAACATCTACGATAATTAAATAAACTGTAATTTTCTTAGAAACTAATTAATAAATAAACTTTTCTTTTAACTTTAATGAAATATTCTATCATCTGATTACAGAACGTACACTTGTGGCGACATCTCTGATTTTAATAACAAATTTTTAGACCGACCCAACCTCACTTTCTTCCAATTAAATTCTTAGTATAGTCTGAAACACGTTTGGAATTGCATATTCCCCTCTCGTGAAATCGTCAAACTTGTTACAGAATATACTATTCTTTTAACTGTAAACGCAAATATTTCAGAATTGGTGACAAAAAACAAAAATGTTTACGCAGGTCAGGTACAAAGTGAAAGATATTTAAATTGTGTGGAAATAAAAACAACTTGCGTTAGTTTCACGAAATTTATTAAATATTGACAATTGTTTCGCTACACAGTAGCTTCTTCAGAATGTATTAAATTAATACTAGTACAAAATTTATATGTATAATAAAAATATTTTTGTATTCTAGCCTAGAATTTCTAGGTAAGGATTTTTATACGACATCTACCTGTGTTACATAATATAAACCACTGCCACTACAACGTTTAAAACGATTATTAATCCGTAAACACACAGTAGAAACAAGATATGCAAAAACAAAGATCATATGACATATAAAAACAAATGGCCGACGGTAAAGTTGGTTGCCTTACTATGTAATAAAATAAAATAAATTCCTAAAACACGAACTCTACTGACTTCCAATAAAATTAAGTAACAAGCTAGGACACAAGCGTCATATGTCCATCTTTGTCCAACACCTAGGCAGTTTTACATCACAGATGGCGCATTTTAGACCGGATGCTTAAAAACCTACGTGTGATTACATTTACCGCTGCATCGAATGTACAAGACAAGTAAAACATTACTGCTAGCATGTCTGAGATATGTTCGGCACCCGATGAGTCACGTTCATATATTGACGGTTTCTACTGTAGTCATGTATAAGTATCAGAATGTCGACGAGATTTGCTCTAACTAACTGGCTTCTCGACCCGCCATTTGAAGTTTTTCTAGAGCTCGATTTCCTTGAGGATTAGGTTGTCTCCGAGTAGTTTAATTTTACCATTCAGAACAGAAGTTTCCAAAGTGTGCGCTGTGGCGCCCTGGGGCGCACAGTGGGCTGAAAAATTGGCCATATGGATCCATAGGAAAAACAATATTATCATTATATAACACCATCTGTTTTTGGTATCTTAATCCTGTACAAATTTAATTCAATTGGCTTAGTGGCTGAGATTTTATAATGGGTGGAATGATTAAAATTTTAACATAAGTTAAAAATTTAATTATATTAATATATTTTCATGAACTTTTAAGACTAGTTTCATATATTAATAGTTTTGATTCTGTATAAATTTAAATTTAATTGAATGAGTAGCGGCGATTTTATAAAGCTTAACATGATTAAAATTTTGTTAAAGTAAGTTTAAATTAAATTATTTTTTCTACTTCACCTTTAAAGGGCCCATTGTAGTACATGTTTTCATGGCATTTAGTGATCTTTTAAATACACATTGACACGTTGTGACCTTATGGCGTTTTAGTCAAGAGCTAAAGTTAGTTTTAAGTTAGTTAACAGTTGTCAAATGTCATACAATCGTTAAAAATAAATGTAGACATTATTTAATTATTATAATACAAAAATAAAAAGTATAAAATAGTTTATCAAAGTCACTACCTATTTGAAATATTTATATACAAGTTTGTACTGACCTTTTGATTTTGCCGGCAGGAAACTAGATTTAAATGAAAGCATTAAAAATTTCGAGTGGAGACTCCGTGAAGTGCCCATAAAACATTCTCTTCACTTTAACTGTGAAAAACTGCTTCTATATCATCATTTATTAGTCCATTTGTTAGTAGGTACATTGTTAAGAGATAAATTTCGATTTACACATACAAATTTGACATTTTGACTGGCGCGCCGGTAATACAGATTCCCAAGTTAGAAATGGTTACGCGAGTTACTCTATTTTTGTAAAGATGCCGCTCTATACAAATATTTATTTCAAATCATTTTTAGATAATAATTATTATAATAAGCAGAAAAAGTATATTATGCAACTCGTTTATAAACTTTTTTAGACAATATTAATTAAGCACTCGCTCGCAAGCTCGCTCGTGTCTAAATTAAATTCGTGACTAAAATGGTGTTTATCAAACTTAATAAATAATGTGCTATTAAAAACTATTTAAAATAACATTATGTAACAGAATTAATATATGAAGAATCTTGATTCTGTACAAATTTTTAATTGGATCGGCGATTTTGTATTGGTTTAAATTTAAAATGTTTGTAAAATTACGTAATTTATTAGATTTGATATCTTGGGATCTTAGCTATTTGGAGTAAAAAAACTTTATTGTTAATAATAAATATTATTTTAAAAAAATATTTAGAATATAATAATATTTAATATAAAATAATAATTTATAAAATTTTAATATCATGTCGACTATAAATCTAGGATGTGGCCTAAGGCAAGCTGTCTTACTTTTTTATAGTTTGCTTTATATAAATTTAAATTAATAACAAGGGAATTTCTTCTGAATTGGATGTCGAAGTTTCTACATTTTTATTTTAATTTTTACGTGTTAACGCCTTTAACACCTAATATTTCTAATAGTTCTGAAGCTCTTTGTCTTTTTGATCTTTGCTATATACAAAATCCATATTTGGCCTTCCAGGGGTTATCTTTTTTGGTGTGTTTAAATTTGAAGTTTCCTTAGATCCTAATAAGAAAGGCTTTTGTAGCCAGTCATAATATTGTTAACGTTAGGTGAATTTACAAAATATTTATATTAACAATAATCCCACCAAACAGAACATTTGTTTATTTTAAAAGGATAACTTATTTTTATTTGCATTTATAATACCTACCTTGAACATATAATCCTCTTTATTGATACATTATCCCCTTTCTATTAAAATAAATATACCTACGATACCCACGATGCACACGCAACGGTATGCCGACGCGTGTGGTTAGCTCTGTCTCTCTCGCACATTTTACCACAGATATCAATAATTGTTTACCTTTTTTATTAGAGTTATTCTTAATACATGATGACGTTTAAAATGCCCATTGCGCTGTGTTTGACTGTGACAATCATAATAAAAAACTATTAAGAATATTTTGGACTACAAAATGAATATAATTAGGTCAGCTTGATTTTCAAAGAAAAAACCATGATAAGAAAACAAGTTATGTTCTGTTTCCACCACTCCATCAGATTGGTGGCGAAGAGGTGGGAGCACCCAGTCGCCGCCATATTGACATTTACATTTTTTTAAAGCGATTTTAAAGTTTTGCAAGGGTAAAAAATGTCTACCTGCCAAGTGAAAATCTGTAAAAACAATGCTAAAAGAAAAAAACCTGGAAATGTATTGGATCATTTCCTTAGTATGGCCTTAAAAAAATTGATGTTAAGGATAGTAAGTAGTTTTATTTTAAAAGCAATTAAATAGTATTAGTAGACTTTCCTTTTTACACAGATTAGAACTTTTTAACAGCGATTAAATTTTAGCCTCCATATTGGATTTTTGTTTATGATTTTATGGTGTTATTTACAAGTTTTAACAAACATTTTTTAAAAAACAATAAAAAATAAGTTATCTAGTTTACGAAATATCAATTATTACTTATTACATACCTTAAATTAATGGAATTTTCTTTAAAAAATATTTATAAACTTTGACACATACGTCAGATTTTATGAATGGTCAAATAGTTTCCTTTAATTCGAGAAATAATCTAGACGTATATCACTCAACCTATAAATTTAATCTGTCAAACTATGCTCAGTAAGTTTTTTATTTGATTTTTCTTTTTGGAAAATAGTTTCATGCAAAATAGTTTAAAATAAAACCCCTCGACCGCTACGCGGTCTCGTGATTTTATTAAATTATTTTGCATTCAACATTTTCCAACAAAAACCAAACAAAAAACTACTAAGCCTAGTTTACTCGATTAAATTCATAGTTCTCGTGATATAATATATGATTATCTGTGACAGATCTATAAATAAAAAAATAATTTAGGTTAATGTTTAAGGTTAATATTTTTGTTTGTTTTGAAGCTTGTATTTGTTCCATTTACTTTAAAAATAGTTGCTG